CAGTGTCCACTCCCTCAGTCCAGTGGCCCCTGTACAGTGTGTGCCCTTTGTCCTGGAACACAACCTTATAGTCAAATTCAAAACAACAGATATCAGTATGTGAATGAGATATTTTTTCTCTCTAAAGTCTAAACAATTTTGGAGCGCTCTGGGTTTTTCCACATGCGCTATGTAAATAAACGTATTACTTATTACTTATTATCTTACTAATGATGACATTTTAAGACCAGAAACTCTCAATAAAAAACAAGACTCAAATCTCAAAAAACCTTCAAACTTTAAAATATGTAATATGTACGTTTGTACTGTGTGTTTAATTATCTATGCGTCCTTGGGTTTCACTTTATGGACTTTCCCTTTTACACTTGAACATTTATCTCAGCCTTTATTCTACTAATTTAAAATCATTGCAGCATTTCAAATGAAGTCAATATGAATTGGAGCACATTTCAGACCAGGCTCCTCTGCTGTGGCATCAGCAGGAGCAACAAGGTCAGGTGCATAGTCAAAACAAAAAAAGTCACCGCTTGCAATGTGAATTGGGTAGAGTTCAACTCAATATAATACTTTTACAGCTAATCCTAATTCCCTCATTATTTTTAGACGAAGTCTATAATCAATAATTTCTTTTAACACAGATTCTAATTTAAATGTTTGAAAAACGGCTTTTGTAACTAAAATAAAAATACATGAAAAAATTCTCACAAACAGCTATGAAATATCAGAGATACAATAATGGACTCAAAAAATAAGCAGCAGATTTAAAAAGAAAAGCAAAGCTTTTTTGTACTAATCTTTGGGTTTCAAAAAACATATAATATTCAAAACTTATTCACTAATGGTGTTTAAAAACGTTTAACTGTGTCATGACACAATGTTCAATGGCAAATTTCGCAAATTTAACGGAATAACAACTATGAAAAGCCAAAATCCTAAAAGCAGTAGCTCCCCCTTAAATCAGAGCAGCAGCAGCAGCAGCGAGGGCGGGGGGGTACCTGTCACACAGACGCACACACACACAGGCAGAAAGTAGTGTTTTAGCAAAAATGCAAAAACAGAAAGAAGAACTTTCAAGATTACTTTTTTAAGTGAATATAACTGATGTTGTAGTTTATACTTTTGTCATCCAAGTCTAGAAATGATCGTTTACGCTTCTATTTTATCGAGGTAGCAAACTAATTTAACTCAAAATCTCTTTCTAAAAAAAAAACAAAAACAACTGTTGGATACAACCCTCTCATAGCTCAACTGTAGATAAAACTCGGCAAAAATGTAAATAACTCACGAAAGCTCTCATAGCTCAACTTTAGATAAAACTCTGCATTCTCCGGTGAACTCTGTTCACGCCAAAAAACAAACTAAAAAACCAAAACTCCCTTTTTCTGTATGTAATTTAAACCGTGATCACTGGAATATTGTTGCTTCTTTACTTTTGTCATTTATCAGCCTGAAATTCGTCAATTTCAGAGCTTTTGTAACAAAGGCCTCTTTAACACATTTCCCTTTTTATTGCTTTTATTTTTACACCATGGTTTCACTAAGGATCCTTCACTTTTATGGCCTTTACACTTATGGATCCTCACTTATGGCCAATACTTTATGGATCCTCACTTATGGCCAATACACTTATGCATCCTCACTTATGGCCAATACACTTATGGATCCTCACTTATGGCCAATACACTTATGGATCCTCACTTATGGCCAACACTTTATGGATCCTATACACTTTATGGCCAATACACTTATGGATCCTCACTTATGGCCAATACACTTATGGATCCTCACTTATGGCCAATACACTTTATGGATCCTCACTTATGGCCAATACACTTATGGATCCTCACTTATGGCCAATACACTTTATGGATCCTCACTTATGGCCAATACACTTTATGGATCCTCACTTATGGCCAATACACTTTATGGATCCTCACTTATGGCCAATACACTTTATGGATCCTCACTTATCTGAACACAATTTCGAGAGAGTTCAACAGACCTCAAAAACAGACCAAAATTTAGCTAGTATCCAATTATGCAGACTTTACATATAAAAAGGTGTCTGCTTACCTTATTCTTGTCAAACAGGTGCATGCACGGACTGTCCGAGAGGTCTGCCAACCTCTTTTCCGCGTCGGAATATTCAATTTAAAAAACAAAAGTGACAGAAGCGACAAGAAGCATCCAGGAACAGCTCTTCCAGCCTGCTGGAATCTCCGCTCCCAGACACAGCATGCCGGTCTCTCACGCAGAGGAAAAGAAACAAAGGAAACTCCCTCAAAACAATCCAGAGAATGGCGCACACTGAGCCGCGCATTCTCCACCAAATCTGTCAGGGATGAAGCAGACAGAGACGGATCGTGGTGCGCCAAACTCTGGAAGTTTATTTAAGTTTCTCTCAAGTTCCAGTGGTTTCAATTGTTTCTTTCTCTCAGACAGAATAAAGTCAGTACACAGTTTATATAGTCATTGTCACGTCACACATCGAAAGACGTACGTGTCACACAGAGAGAGTCACATCATAGTCAAAATAATCAGAGTCCTTGTACAGTCCTGCACGTAGGCCATATTGCTATCTAATACTAACAAATGCCACTACAGTGACCACACAGGCACAGAGTGTGACGGCCGTCCACCCTTTTCTGTAAAGTCGCATGCACGAGGTCCATCTTTGATATTGGAGTGGGTGAGTTTACATGGTTTGCACATGTGTTTACCAGACTAAGTACAAATATGGTATATGTGTGAAGTTACAGACTTGTTAACACTTTCTTCCCCATATAGTTTTGCCCGCACGGCCATAAATTATGGAGTTTATGCAAGGAGGAGATTTTTGTTGTTCTCCAATATTTCCCTCTAATTCAAATTCATGAATATCCGCATGGTGCCTCCTCAACATCTTCTGCAGTCCAGGGAACCTACTGTCTAAAAACAATAAAGCAGTTTTGGGAGGAGAAAAAGACTGCTATTATCAACAGATTAGAGTCCAAAGACAACGTTGTTGCCCTTGGTAAGTAAGCATATTCATTTCTAAGCCCGTGTATATGTATGCTTACATGCCTTTTGTGTTTATGTTTTAGCTGACGGGAGGATCTACTTTCCAGGTAATGCACAAAGCTCTGTGGCATTTCATTAATATCGGTTTGTTGTTATTGAAATATTTGTCATTCATTATTTCCCCCACAATCTATATATTTTTCCAAAAAGGTCACTCTGCTATGTGCTGTACGTACACAACGATGGAGCTAGACATCGTAAGTGTTTAATTGTATTTAACACAGGTCTGGTGAGACTTTTTTAAATATAATTGTGGTGTCTTCAATCAGGCTGAATCGTTTCTGGTCAAAAGGCTTTACTTGTATGGATTGAGGACATCTTTAACCATTTCTGGTATGCTTGTCAGCACACAAGCACCAGAGAGGAGTTTATGGTCTGTATGAACATTAGATATTTATAACGTCACTAGATAATGTCATTTTCTCTCTGTGTGGTGACATGGTATAACTTTTGATATACAACGTATTGTATACATTTAGGGTGTGTGGAGAGGTGTACTTCACCAAATGTGCCTCTGGAGGATAAACGGGACAAAGAGCCCATTCCACGTGGTTCTTAACCGGAGGTGGCTGAAGGATATTGAGAAGTGTCTCACCTTTTCTGTAAGTCATGTGGGTGACATCTTGTGGGAATGTACAGGAACTGCCTTTTTAATTCTACAAAGTATATTATATTACACAGAGATCGAATTTATTTGTATGTTTGACGTTACAATAATCTTTGTTCTGTAGGACAACTTTGAAGCTCGACTCTTTCCAAAACTACGTCCTGAGGTACGCAGGGAAGCGTTTTGGATTTACTTATGGTGCCTATGAAGTTCGTACACTCCTCGCTGCATTAGACTACAACCTCCATAACCATCGCCCAGTGCATGTGAGCAGCAAAGGCCAAGTATCGTAAGTCATACTTTATTATCAAGATTCAGTATGAAAGCAATAAAGAAATATTATTATTTCTACTGATGTCTACAGAAAAAGTCTCAGCGTTACGCTGTGAAGGAGACTAAAGACTACAGCTCTATCCCAGACCAGTGCCTCAGCTCTGCTGGGGGGCTCATGACCCCAGAGCCATGGGTCCTCTGTCCTCATCATCCCTCCTCCTGCTGGGGGACTCATGAGCCCAGGGCCATGGGTCCTCTGTCCTCATCATCCCTCCTCCTGCTGGGGGACTCATGACCCCAGGGCCATGGGTCCTCTGTCCTCATCATCCCTCCTCCTGCTGGGGGACTCATGAGCCCAGGGCCATGGGTCCTCTGTCCTCATCATCCCTCCTCCTGCTGGGGGACTCATGACCCCAGGGCCATGGGTCCTCTGTCCTCATCATCCCTCCTCCTGCTGGGGGACTCATGACCCCAGGGCCATGGGTCCTCTGTCCTCATCATCCCTCCTCCTGCTGGGGGACTCATGAGCCCAGGGCCATGGGTCCTCTGTCCTCATCATCCCTCCTCCTGCTGGGGGACTCATGACCCCAGGGCCATGGGTCCTCTGTCCTCATCATCCCTCCTCCTGCTGGGGGACTCATGACCCCAGGGCCATGGGTCCTCTGTCCTCATCATCCCTCCTCCTGCTGGGGGACTCATGACCCCAGGGCCATGGGTCCTCTGTCCTCATCATCCCTCCTCCTGCAGCTGAACTGGAGCAGACACAACAGAGGACAGGTAGTGATGATAATCAAGTGGAAAACAAATCTCTATGATATAAAATATTTTTCTTTCTTTTTCTAGGACTTTTTTATCTGGTCCCTGAACAGAGGACAGCAATCAAAGATGGACACAGCACATTTATTTATATTATGTCAAATATAATTTTTTTCCCCCCAAACATTGAAATAAAAGAAAGACTTATTTCTAAAGTGGTGATGAGTTGCATTTTAGTTTTAATTCCCTACTGTGGAACGAATAAAGGGGCTCTTTATAACCCACATGTCCTGCTCTTCTCATTCTAGCCTGGCCTCTCCTCTGGCTGCTCCTCTTCCTCCTCTTTCTGCTCCTCTTCCTCCTCTGGCTGCTCCTCTTCCTCCTCTTGCTGCTCCTCTTCCTCCTCTGGCTGCTCCTCTTCCTCCTCTTGCTGCTCCTCTTTCTCCTCTGGCTGCTCCTCTTCCTCTTCTTGCTGCTCCTCTTCCTCCTCTTGCTGCTCCTCTTCCTCCTCTGGCTGCTCCTCTTCCTCCTCTTGCTGCTCCTCTTCCTCCTCTTGCTGCTCCTCTTCCTCCTCTGGCTGCTCCTCTTCCTCCTCTGGCTGCTCCTCTTCCTCCTCTTCTTAATGCTCGTCTGCCTCCTCCTCTCCCCGATTCAAAGTCACTGCTCTCAGAAACTACAGATTCAACTGGATAGAGTCCTGGAAGGAAAATCAAAAAGATTTACATGTCACTGTTCTGGAATGTATGTTTTGTACAAACTTCATCGAAAAATATTTAGAATTTATCAGAACAGTTGATATAGTTTTATACCTACAGACAACTTGTGTAGTATTAGTAGCAGACTAGAGTCAGTAATAACACTAATAAAAACAAAACAGTAACAGTGGTAATTATGCTGTATTTTCTATGGGAATAATAATTTTGTTAATGTTAGCTTGTCTTGGCTACAAAATAAGGCTTATAAGGCCCAATGAAAAGATGATTTTGGCTTGTCATGGAAGCATTTCTATCTGTGGAATTGTATTATTACAGTTAGGCTTACGTTTATATATACATAATAGACATTTTTTTTGTTCCCCTTTCAAATGCTGTTCATTTGTGTGAATATAATGTGGCTTCAGGCTTTTGATAAATCACTTTTCTTTACATTTGCTGAAGTATCACATCTTGGAAAATATACACATTGATTTGGTCTAAATATCATACAAAACAGTAACATGTCTTACCTCTGTTGAAGTCATCCCGCAAATTTGTAAATTATCAGGACAGGACCATATCAGCTGTTGTTTATGTTCTGTTCCTCGTGCACGCGCCTCTCATTCAGGCTGCAGTTACACCTCTGGCCAGAGGGGGGTTCGTGAGCACAAAAATTGCAAACTCCGCAAGGCTCCTTTAAGATGACTTGACATGCAACTATTACATACTGCTACTTTAAATATTGTTTACAACAAAATACAGTGAATAAAGTGTTAGTATTAGATAGCAATATGGCCTACATGCAGGACTCTACAAGGACTCTGATGATGACTCCATGTTTTGACTATGATGTGACTGTCTCTGTGTGACACGTCTTTCGATGTGTGACGTGACAATGACTATATAAACTGTGTACTGACTCCATTCTGTCTGGGAGAAAGAAACAATTGAAACCACTGGAACTTGAGAGAAACTTAAATAAACTTCCAGAGTTTGGCGCACCACGATCCGTCTCTGTCTGCTTCATCCCTGACAAAAGTTCATAATAATTTCTTAAAATCCATTATAATGAGATCTTTAGTTAAAACAATTGATTTTGAAACCCATTTAGATAAATTTGCATTTAAAATAGCAAATAACCTTTAACAGTAAAAAAGCACTTAAAATAGTGATATTATGGGTTAAAATTGAGTTAAAAATAGATGTAAAAATCCCTTAAATGTTATTCCATTATTACTAATCATATGAATGCTTTCTGTTTAAAGGTTTTCACCTGCTGTGAAACCGACCTAAAGTGGTGTCAGAGTCCTTCCTTGTCATGTGGGGAAAGCTGTTGAGAATGAGGAGTCACGTGATAATTTGGGCGGGGTCTAATCCGGTCGGCCATGTTGATAGGATCCTCTATCGGTTGCCAGGGTCAACGCCACTAACGCTCAATATATGCTAACGCTCCAGAGGTCTTTAACTTGAGCGCGTTTATTATTTCGGCAGTAGATACATCTACGATTACAACACTAGCAAGACAGTTAATGGAGAAAGTGAAGGCAAAAGGAAATGGACCGTACAGGGAAAAGCTTCTACCTACGGCAAAACAACGTTATTTGGAGAAGCTCTCAGACATACAACAGGTAGAGCCATACAAGCTTCCTGCAGCGGAGTGGCAAAAAGACCTTGACTTTTTGCCTCCGTGCACGTACATGGATATAGTCAATTACTTTGTTTTCGGTGTTAGTTATTATACAATGCAGGAGTTTAGAAGTCACAAGTCACTGGAGAGTTACGAGGCTTTCTGCTGTGGTTGGGTGCAGTGGACAGACCCTCCGCTGACACACCATGGTTTTGCCATTCTTATGCTGAATAGTGTGTTTTTTTTTTTTTTTTTATGTCTTTTTGTTTTTTTGCAATAATTTTTCTTGTGCCAAATGGTGGTTTTTTTTTTGTTGGTATGTTTGGTTCTTTTGCACTAACAGCAGTATTACTATTTTATTATGTTGTCCATCTTTTCATGCTGAAATATTTATACGTTGACAGCACACATTCTTTTCTTAAGCCGAATAGTGCCACTATTCAGCTTAAGAAAAGAACGTGTACATTCGAAGTATAAATATTTCCAGCATGTAAACATAAACAACATAATAATGAAATACTATAATTAGTGCAAAAGAACAAAAAACATACAAAAAAACCCCCAATTTTTTTATTGTTTGGATGTTGTTTGTTCTTTTGCACTAATAACAGTATTATTATTACTTATGTTGTTTATGTTTACATGCTGGAAATATTTATACTTTTAATGCACACGTTCTTTTGCACTGTTAACTTTTCCAAGAGATTACACCCCCCTACAAAAAAATGTTAATTTCTCAATAAATATTGCTTTGCCACATGAAGTTGTTTCAAACATTTATTTCAAAGAAATTAAAAAGGCAAGGCAAGTTTATTTGTACAGCACAATTCATGTTACAAAACAATTCAAAGTACTTTAAATAGAAAATTAAAAAGAATTACAGCTGGGTGCAGAAGAAGCATTAAAAAGTAACAGAATAAAAAGCATGATTTAAAATTAAAAACAAAAATTCATAAGAAAAAGATAACAGACAAGTAATTCCAGCTTAAAAGAAGCCGTGCAGATTTGTACATTAGAATAAAAAATATTCAAAAGCAGCTGAGAACAGGTGGGTCTTTAACCTGGATGTAAACAAACTGAGTGTTTCAGCTGATCTGAGGCTTTCTGGGAGTTTGTTCCAGACACGTGGAGCATAGAAGCTGAATGCAGCTTTTCCGTGTCTGGTTCTGACTCTGGACTCGGATCCAGATGACATGAGGGGTTCTGGTTGGTTCATAAGTTATGAACAAGGCACTCAAACAACACTTTTGCACATGTTCGTTAAGGCACAGCAAACAGTGACAATCTTATCTAAAGACATTAGGTTTTCACCCTCACATTTGAGAAGCATATGCACAGGTACAGTTGAGTGTAAGAATTTGAATTTGTTGCGCACAACACCAATCACCCTCTCAACGTGAATTCTGAGATGTGCAATGGCCCTAGTCTCCTCCACATCTTTCGCCTCCAGCTGTGCACGACCCCTTGTGAATGTAGGTATTTTCACTTCAGCACACATCATGCCTACACTTTCTCTTATATTAAAGCCCCTATCTGCCAGCACAATGTCACCTGGTAAAAGTTTGTTCAGGAAACCACTTTGCTCAGTTATATGCTTGTCACTTATGCGCCCACCCCACCCATTCGATAGGAAGGAAATGACACCCTGGGGCGTGATCACAATAAGGTATTTCATGGTGTATGCGCGTTTGTATTGAGAGAAAGTCTGTGCCCTTGCTAGTACATTTGAGGGTTTTTCGATGAACACCTCGAAGCAGTCCACAATGGCAGCCACATTATTCCCAAATGACTCCACAAACTGATGTGGCATACTGGTCAATATGCATTCCCTGCTTGGCCAGTGCACTAATGGACACAGCTGTGTGTACATCACACCAAGGGTATGGTGAAAGGCATCAGCGACTGTTGTCCGATGTACTCTAAACAGATGGCTGAGGTGCTTGATTGGAAGGTCTAATCTGAGGCGCATTAGAGTCAATAGGACAAGCTGGAAGGGTGAGAGCTTCCTCATCCTTCCTTGAGGCAGATATGGAGTGAGGGTGAGTAAAAGTGTCTGGGACAAAGCAAAGTTTGGAAGCCCCGTGTAGTACTTCACTGTATTGTCATGACGACTCAGAAAGTTTTCATTCATCCGGTACTCATCAAGCTCCCGCTTCAGCTCTCTGTTTTCTTCTAGAAGATTGTTGATAACATCTTGTCTAGATGAGCAGAGTCCACATTCCATGTCCTGGGCTGGCAATGGGGGCTGCTGGGCTGGCGATGGAGGCTGCTGGGCCGGCGATGGGGGCTGCTGGGTTGGCGATGGAGGCTGCTGGGCCGGCGATGGAGGCTGCTGGGCCGGCGATGGAGGCTGCTGGGCCGGCAATGGGGGCTGCTGGGCCGGCGATGGAGGCTGCTGGGCCGGCGATGGGGGCTGCTGGGCCTGGGCTGGCGATGGAGGCTGCTGGGCTTGAGCTGGGAGTGATGACTGCTCCAGATGCTGGGTCCTGCGCTTTACTTGCCGCTGATATCGCACTCCATCTGTTTCTTTAACATTATTGTGGCCTAACCGCAAGGATGGTGTCCAGTCAGGGTGATTCGCCAACATCTCATATGATGGTTCACCTAGAACAGAACAATCTATGTAGTCAATGCTTTAAACTGGCAACACGGTAGCATAATGTCATGAACAGAATCCCAACTATTTTTAGCAATCTCATAATCTCATATAATGGTTTACTTACGTCAGATTAATAAGATTATTAAACAATCTGGAATCTAAAGAAATATTAAACAAGAAGGTAACGCTATTAATGGTTTCATAAAAGGGCTCAGGGGGTAGTGGCAACACAAGACAAAAAAACCACCACTGGTTTAGAGAACATAAGAGACAGAGACAAACGCACTTTGAGTGCCCATATTCCACCAACAAGGTAGGATAATGAGCAGAAACTTAAATATTCTTAGTTAACATTAATGGTTGGCCATTAAGCATTTTCATAGAGGCAACAGTTTGTTAGATAGTTAGCTAGGCAGCTAACTTAAGATGCACTTCAGTGTTTGCAACATTAACAGCTAGGTAACCTACACTTCTTAACTTTAAAAAAACAACATGAAGACATTTTAGGACGTACCCGAGTGAAAATGCAGAGAACACACTCTCATCGACTGGGGGGTGAGATCGAAAGTAAGGTCCTTTCTTCTTATTGCAGCCAACCAAGCCATCCGGCGTCTCTTTGTCAGGTCAGACACTTGCGCTCCCTGATGTTGTATCCATTTTGGTAGCCTAAAAAATTGTAAACCGTTGTTCCTACGTTTTCCTTTCTTATTGTGTGAGGTACTGGAGCAGTTTTTAACACAGCAATGAGCTCCAGGCATGGTAAAACAGAAATAGCGATGACCTCCTTTGCTACCGAGTTAACTACAACGGTTTGCCGCTGGGTTCCTACCATCATGGCGGAGACGGGGAGGGTCCCGCGCTATCGAGGAAGGGGGGCTCTGTGCTATGACGACAACTCCTCACTCTCAATATGGTTTGGGGTGCACTTGACAATGGATTGTGAATACACAACCAAGACAACCCCAAAAAGAAGCACTTGTGAAAGCAGAAGCCATGAATGATCCTAATCGAGGTTGTCTTAATGTGCTAAATTAGAAAGTCTTTGAATAGAGTTAGCTGTGGCCAAAGATGCCTGTCTCTCTGGTCCATCTTTGTCTGTACTCATGACTGCATGTGGTGAGTATTTCTAACTCAAGAGAGTGATGCTTTTCTCATTGGTTGCTTTTCTATTGAGAACATGGAGAGGAGACGGTGCTGAAAGCGAGTGCGTAACGGACCGGTATCCAAGTAAACCCCGTAATAACGGACTAACGTCAAACATGTTACAAAAGCATGCTTTTTGTAACATCACTGCTCAGAGCGAGGACATTACGTGCAGAAGCCGCAGAGCCCTAATTAAGCTCATAGTTGATTTTTGTGAGCGGGATGAGCTGTTGGAGAGTGAGGACGAAGGCATGTCTGATCTGTTGGAGCTAAATGATGTACTGGACTCGTTGGTGGAAGAGAGGGCCGCACCAACGGCTGCTTCATCAACGGCTGGACCGAGGTCTACACGCGTTACCATGGCAACGGCGGAGGTCGCGAGCACGGAGCAGGCAAGTGTCTTTGCCGCTCTCATCACTGGAGCAGTGGGCCGCACTGAGGACAAAGCTGGACAGAGAATCTACAAGCAACAGCTGCTGTGGAGTTTTCAGCGGCGGATTTAAAAAAGATTTTCGCATCATTGGTCACGTGGGTGAGTCAACATCAAGAGACAAGCTGAGCTTCAGTAGCCTCGAACATCAGATAGAAAGTGGTTTGAGAAAGGGCTACTCTGACGCTGAAATAGTGGAAGCTGTAGTTCGTGCCATACGCCCTGGACTGAAGCTAAGGAGGTATTTAGAAGGAAAGATAGATCTCACTTTGACCAATTTAAGACAGCTCTTAAGAGCCCATTATGTGGAGAAAGACGCAACTGTGTTATATCAGCAACTAACCAAAGCAACACAAGGACGGGAATGAAACTTCCCTTGAGTTTCTGATTAGAGTGCTTGATTTACTTCAGAAAATCCTCTTTGCATCAGAGCGCACACAAACTCGGCTCAAGTATAACAAGGAGCTAGTACAGAGCCAATGTTTCCAATCAATTATGACTGGACTGTTAAATGACAACATCAGGGCTGAAATGAGGAGGTACCTCCAGGATGAGAAGAGCACAGATGAGCTCCTACTGGAGAGGATGCAAATTGCACAGTACAATGGAAGTGAAAGAGCTTTAAAAATCATAACAAACACAAAGTTTAGAGCAGCACTAAATGTTGTGGAGCAGTTGGAATTACCAAACGATTCCTGCTCTAGTCAGCTTGCAACAAAAGCTAAACCAACCAAAGACAAGTCACTCTACTCAAAAATAGAGGAAAGCAACATAGCCATCAGAGAACTGACTGGTCAAGTAGCTGCACTTATGCAAAATGTTCACTGTGGCAACAACAAACAATTCAAAAAGTCAGCTCCAAGACAGAGGAGACAATGTACTGCATGTCAAAAAGAAAACAAAGACTGTAACCACTGTTTTAAATGTGGCAGTGACTCACACTGATGCATCACGATAGCTGTTGGTAAAGCAGCTGTCGGGCAAAGCCGCGCCACAATGAAAGAAAACAACAAGAAACAAACGGGCGCAAGTTTGTGCTGAACGTGGGGAAGCTCTGAAGCGTGTGTGAGTCAGATTTTAATGCGTGTGTTGGTGCCGTGTGCGGCTCCCGAAGCGGCCGCAGTGTGTGGCGTTCACTGAAGCTTCAGAGACGTGGTGCATGTTATTATTATAGATCCATTATACACTAAGAATAATAATTGGATTTAGTAAAGCTGATAATGCTGCTGCGGCTGCGTGGTGTTCCCATTTATCTATTAATTATTATTATTTTTTACTTTTATGTATGTCAATGTGTATTATAAAAAAATACTGCACCTTTATTGCAAAGTGTCCTTATTATTATATTCTTATTATCACTACTCTTGTGTTATTATTATTAATACTATTATTGTCTTTATTACTATCATTATTATTTTTATTTGTTTATATCTCACTATTTTTATTTTTGTTTATTCTACTTTATCTTTCCACCTTGACCAAATATATCTATCACCGAAGCTTACCTCAACATTGACTTATGTAGCGTACACCTGACCACACTACACACACAACACACAACACACATGCAGCCTCGCGGAAATTCAATTCTGGAAGACGTCAGCCAAAGCCACCCCTTCCAGGCCGGCCTCGCATCCCCAGCCTATCGCACAGCAAACGCCCATTTCCAACCAACCTACGCCGGCCAGGCCAGCCGCTTAAAAGCGGAGAAACTCCCACTTACGGCCTTCTCGAAGCCTTGCAAAGAGTCGTTCTGGAGGAATCGCTTTTGTCTACTCACGCTTACGCGTGCGTGTCCCTGCTGTCCTCTGTCTTGCTGCGTGTGGTCTGCTCCTCCTCCGCGTCGCTGCACCTGCTGCGGGTCTCGTGCTGTGATCCGTAGGTCTTTGCCGCTCTCCTCCTTTGCGGGCTCTTTCTGCGGGTTTGCCGCTGCTCGTCTCGTCGCGGCCTGCTGCTGCATACGGCCGGTCTGGACCGGTGCGGTGGGAGCTGTGCGCATCCCTGCCTCCTCGTGCCGGTACGGTGTGGTCCCGTTGTGTTTTCCTTGTCTTCTGGCGTTGTGGGTAAGTATGCTGACCTACGGACGGTTTATTCCCCTCCCATTGTACTGCAGGCTCGGTTTTGGCCCCGCGCTTTGTACTGCAGGCTCAGTTGGCCCCGCGCATTGGTTTGCAAGCTCTCAGTTTAAAGCCCTCGCATTGGTCTGCAGGCTCTCTTTGAATCCCTCTCTTGGACTACAAGCTCTGTTTAAATCCCTCTCTTTGGACTGCGGCTCTCAATATGAATCACTCACACTGGACTGCAAGCTCTCAGTTTTAATCCCTCTCTTGGACTAAAAGCTCTCAGTATTAATCCCTCACTTTGGGCTACAAGTTGTTTAACTCCTTCACACTGGACTGCAGGCTCTCAGTTTAAACCCCTCTCTTGGACTGCGGGCTTCAGTTTTAATCCCTCACTTTGGACTGCAAGCTCTGTTTAAATCCCTCACACTGGACTGCAAGCTTTCGGTTTTAATCCCTCACTTGGACTACAAGCTCTCAGTTTTAAATCCCTCACTTAGGACTGCAGGCTCTGTTTGAATCCCTCACACTGGACCGCAAGCTCTCAGTTTTAATCCCTCTCTTTGGACTACAAGCTCTCAGTATTAATCCCTCACTTTGGACTACAAGTCGTTTAACTCCTTCACACTGGACTGCAGGCTCTCAGTTTAAACCCCTCACTTGGACTGCAAGTTCTGTTTAAATCCCTCACATTGAACTGCAAGCTCTGTTTAGGTCCCTCGGCGTCTCGTGTCCCACAACCTCTTCCCGGCTCTCCGTGAGCCCCAAGTTGTCGCGCGGCTCGGGCGCGGGAGGTGTCCGTGGGCTACGTCATTGGCCCCTTCTCTCCGTCTCGCTCTAACCCGATGGGCATCGCCACCCGCAAGCACTCCAGGAAGAAGCGTCTCATATTCGTCCTCTCCTGTCCCCGCTCCGGGCCCGCCCCGAGCATCAACAGCCCCTTCCCTCCAGCGCCCTTCTCCCTGCAGTCCGCTACCGTGGACCACGCGATCAGGCTGATAAAGACTTTCGGCCCCGGCTCCTGGCTCTCCAAGGCCGACATCCCGGACGCTCTCGAGCTGCTGCCCATCCACCCCGACCACTGGCGCTGTTCAGGGGTCAAGTGGCGTCAGTTCTTCTTCGCCGTGCGCCTCATCTTTGGCTGCCGGAGTAGTTCCTCTCTGTTCAACAATCTCTCGGAGGCGCCGTGTCGGATTCTGCTTAATTACGCGCGGCCCTCCTCTGTCCTGCATCTCCCCGATGATTTCCTCGTAGTCGACCCACCCTCAGACTGCTCCGGGGGCTCTCTCCGCAAGCTCAAGCTCGCCTTCTCTGCCCTCGGATTCCTTCACTCCGAGGAGAAGACCACCGGCCCCGCCATCGCTTTGGAGTTTCTCGGCATCCGCCTCGTCACGCGCGCCGTAGAGGCCTCCCTCCCGCTGGACAAGCTTGGGCGCATCCGCGCTTCTCTCGGTCTGCCTTGTCCTCTCCGTCACTTTCGAAGCATCAGCTGCTCTCCCTCCTCGGGCACCTCAATTATGCCATCCGTATCATCCCTCAGGGTCGTTCTTTTATTTCCAGACTCCTCTCCCTCGCTGGCTCCGTCCCCTCCCTCAATGATGCTGTCTGCCTGAACGCTGGGTGCCGTTCCGACCTGGAGTTCTGGTCCCGTCTGCTGAGCCGCTGGAACGGTGTATCTTTTCTACAGCGACGTCATCCTGTCCTCAGATGCCCTGCGTTTCTTCACGGACGCAGCCCCGTCCGTGGGTTTTGGGGGGTTTTTCCAGGACCAGTGGTTCGCCGGGCCCCGGCCCGACTCCTTCCCTCGAAGCATCTCCTCCGCACTCCATGAAATATATCCCGTGGCCGTAGCCTGCGCGCTGTGGAGCCACATGTGGCACAGAAAAGGATTTCCGTGATGTGTGACAATCTCGACGTGGTAGAAATAATTAACAGAGGTCGTCCGTCCTCTCCCCAAGTCATGTCTTTCCTCAGACGCATCACATGGCTCTCAGTCCTAAATAATTTGATCATCACTGCTCGTCACGTCCCTGGTCACCTTAACTGTATTGCTGCTTGTCTCTCTCGTTTTAAATTCCAGGAGTTCTGCCACTCTGCCAATTCAACGCCATGGAATCCCTCGCCCTGAACTAGTCCCACCGTCTCTTCACCTTCTCCTCTCCTCCGCGTCATCCTACATGAAAATGGGCCTCTCACTTTCCACGCTGAAATCTTACTGCTTTGCTTGAAAAGTCTACTCCCGCTTTTGCTACGCTCACAGCATTCCCCTAATTCCGCCCTCTGTATGTACCATCTGCGCCTTCATAGTTCACTGTGCGGACAATCTCCTCTACAAGATCTTACATTGGCTCTCTTCTCGCCGGGATCCAATTCCAGGCCCGCTGTCACAACCCGGCTTTCTCCTCTCTATTCGATCAAACTCGTCATCAAAGGCATTCACAACTGCACCCCTCATTCCTCGGACCACAGGCGCCCCATCACACTGTCCATCCTCCAACAGCCCAGCGTTTATTGGCATCCCCGTAAGCACTTGCAAAACTCCCTGGTGGCGGCAGCAGCTGAGCATTTATAAATAGTGTTGCCTTTATATATAGTGTTGCCTTTATAAATAGTGTTGCCTTTATATATAGTGGTGCCTTTATAAATAGTGTTGCCTTTATAAATAGTGTTGCCTTTATAAATAGTGGTGCCTTTATATATAGCGGTGCCTTTATAAATAGTAAGTAAGTAAGTAATCTTTTATTTATATACCGCCTTTTCACTGCACATCGGAGTCTCAAAGCGGTTTACAATTGTTATTTTTTGGGAGTGGGGGTGCCAGTTCAGGAGGCACATGCCAGACCTATTGTACATATTTTTAGTGGTAGGGGAAACCGGAGCACCCGGAGGAAACCTACGCAGACACGGGGAGAACATGCAAACTCCACTCAGAAAGGCCCTGGTCCAACCGGGATTTGAACCCAGGACCTTCTTGCTGAGAGGCGAGAGTGCTATCCACTCAGCCACCGTGCCGCCCGCCCAAATAGTGTTG